TGAGGGCCACCGTAGCCTTAAAGGCTGTGGTGGGGTGCTTTCCTCCCCGCAGGTGGGCAAAGAGATTTGCTGGACAATAATCAACATATTGCAAGAGGGTGGATTTGGGGCTCTGGGGGTGAAAAGATTGGAGGTTGGAGGCCAAGGTTTGTCCAAAGAGGTGTGGACTATCTCAAAATCCCTGAAGAAGGACAGTCCAGGTTAAAGGCAAAAAGATGTCCTTTAAATCTATGACCAAGAAGTGGGTGGCAGTGTGGGGGATCTGAGACAGCAGAGTGTATGGGTTGGGAACCAAAGGATGTATGGGCCTAACGAAGGTGTTGATAAGTCATAGGTAGGACCAGTTGGGCTTTTTTACCACTAGTATGGGAGTATTGTAAGGGGAATGAGCAGGATGGAAGTACCCCTTGCTAAGAAGGTCCTGAATAATAATTTGTAGGCCCAGAAGAGCTTTTGTGGACAGGGGGTATTGAGCCTGATTGGGAAAGGTGTTAGGATCTTTGAGATGAATGTTAACTGATGGGCAGGAAATGATGGAGGGGGTGTGGGTATCCCATACAATCGAGTCAACCAGGTTAGTATGGTGTTTCTTGTCAGCCTCACAAGTGGAGCAGAATGGCCAGTCTTCTGCCAAAAGGACAAGAAAAGATGAACAGGCTGATTCTGGGGCCTGACTGATGCCAGGAGCCTGGATGTTGATTGTTGTATTGAATTTAGAGAGAATATCTCGGCCGAGCAAAGGAACTTAACATTGGGGCATAACTAGGAACGTCTAAGAGAATGGGAAGTTGTCTATGGAACAGAGTAATAGGGGAGTCTTTCTTAGATAGATGGTCTTTCCTCCTACCCTGACAATAGGAGAGGTGGACGGCACTGTTTGCCCCCCAGAATTCTGTCAGGACTGAGAAGGTAGCCCCGGTGTCAAGGAGAAAGTCAATCTTGCACCTATCCACCTGAATCCACACCCTGGGTTCCTGTCTATTGATTGTTACAGCCGGGGACAAGGACCCAAGGAACCGTCAATTGATTGCCATGCCCAGAAGGTCGGGGGGTTCCCTGGCCATAGGTCTTCTATGGGATCTAGGACAGTCAGAGCCCCAATGATCTTGTTGTTGACATTTAGGGCATGGAGTATGCGGAGTGTGTGGTGCGGGGCATGCCCTGGCCCAATGTCCCTCCTTGCCACACTTGAAGCAGGCACCCAGGGGGGTTTTCGGTGGTGGGCGGCAACCAGAGGAAGCACCCTGCAGGGCCTGGGCAAGCATCTGAAATTTCTCAGTCTGGGGGTGGCAGGGTTATGTTCGAGCTTTTTTAGTTTGGCCCAGATGTCGAGGTAGCTCTGCAAGAGGAAATATGTCATAAGGACATGATGGCCATCTGGGGTTTCGGGATCTAGGTTAGTGCTGAAGGGCTTTCGTAAGCCGATCCAGAAATTCCAATGAGGTCTCTTGTAATTTTTGGAAATTGACGGCCTTACGTGCTGCTTTTTTGAGCCCAGCAATAATACATGCAGAGAATCGGTCCCTACTCTGTATGCCAGTTTGTGTATAATCCCAGTCGGGAGTTTGATCTGGGGCAGCAAGTGGCCCTGGAGGGTGATTGGGATTAACTTGGTGAGTTTCATCTGCATGGACTCTGGCAAGTTCCCAGACTCTGGTATGTTCCTCAAGAAGGAGAGTACTAGCCAATAACATATAAATGAGGCTATAAGCCTGGAGGACCCATTGAAACTCTCTTCTGTGGTGAATGAGCCCAACCTTTGCTCGAGTTGCGTGAGGTCATTCATAGAGAATGGGACATGTACCCAGATAATGCCCTCAGGTCCAGCAACCTCTCTTAAAGGGGCCATGGTTTGTGGGACTAGGGGCGGGACCTAGTTTGGGGGAACTAAAGGTGTCGGCCAAGTCAGGGGGAGCACCTGAGGGGCTGCACGGAGCCGACGGGGCAGGTCGGTAGGGAGGAGGTTCATCTGCAGGATAGGTCGGGGTGAGAACGAAGAAGAGAAAAAGCCTCAACATAGGGGATCTCCTTCCACTTTTTCGAGCACTCACAGAAGTTAAACAGATCTCTGAGAATTGCTGGACCTAGGGATCCTCCTGGGGGCCATTGACTTTGATTGTCCAATTGATAGTAAGGCCAATCTTGTGTGTAGAATTTAATAAGGGGGAGTCTGCAGGGAGGGAAGAAGAAGCCCCCATAGGTCAGGAGAGGGACAAGGGTGGTTAAGAGAGAAAGAGAGAGGAGTGCCTGTTCTTCCACCCCTCGGGACCTCCCGCTCATGAACCGGGTTCCAGAGAGTCCACCGTGACCATGAAGGTCGTGGTGGGGTGCGTTCTCTCCTCCAGATTGGGCATCAGAGGTTTGCCAGACGATCACGATCACGGTCAAAGCCCCTGCATAGCCCGTCTGAAGTTGGATACCTGATAGTGGAACTCACCTACTGAAGAGCCAGTGTTGTGTGAGTAGCAGCGCTCGAAAGAGTGGACAAGGACGACCAGCCTTGAGAGAGGGGGCCCTCGAGCAGCGAGGCATTCCCCCTCCCGGGTTTCGGCACCAATGAAAGAACAATCAAGGCTTGCCATTGGAGAAAATGCCCGTTTATTGAGGAACAGCTCTGCATATTTATAGAGCTGGGGGTGGTTTGACAGTTATGACAGTTTAATGGTTGAACGATTGACAGTTGGCTGGGGTGCTTTCTGATTGGTGGGTAAGGATCATGTGAGCCAGCAGGGCAAGTCTGATTGGTGGGTAAGGATCATGTGAGCCCTCACCATTGGACATCAGGATCATGTGAGCCAGCAGGGCTCACCATTGGACGGCTCTTCTTGGGGGATGGGGAAGTTAGTCTTTGGAGCCAGGGCGACTCCCAACAAAATATATCTATTTGCTGCTCCAGAAAAATTTCTATCTGAAAAGTGATTGCTAATTATGCAGCAAAGTGCGGGCATCAGAAGAACGAGGTCAAATTGGCACCTTGGCCAATCCTGTGATTATGCAGAGCAGATTTCCGGACAAATATAATAGAGTTGGGGAACCCTTCCAACTGATAGTCTTTATCTGAGATTGTAACTATGGCCATAACCCAAACATAGCACACTGATAGATTTTGTTTGGTTCTTTCTAATTTTTAAAATGTTTTAGTCCAAATGCCTATGAAGACATTTCACCTCACAATCTCTGCTTTATATTCATCCTAGGCTCTGACCTCTGGACATAAACAGGTACAAAAGAAACAAGTACTAGTGTAATCTTTTTCCCTCCCTTCATTCCTCTTTTAAATTCTATGGTTTTAGAAAGCATTATAACCAGTAAGATGAATTCTACATTCTTGCTCTTTAATTCTAAGAAATTTACCTTTCTGGGTGAATTCTAGAATCAATCCGTCAAAGACCATGAAAATATTTTTGGAATATTTATTGAAATTATAATTAATTCTATATTCATTTAATGAGAAATAGCATATTAATTATATTGCATTTTCCCATCAGTCAACTTAGTATATACCTCCACTTATCCTTTCCTGTTCTTCAGCAAAGTTTTGCGCTTTTTCATAATGAGCATCTTAATTAAGTTTTTATGAAGATGACCAAAAATTCCTTGAGAAAGATTAACCTAACTTTGTAATGCAAATTCTCCATATGCAGGTTGTTATGCCAAGTTTTGCTCTAAAATCATCTGATAGCCTGGTTTGGGCTAGGAATTAGTGATATTTAACCACATTGTTTTTGTGCCCTACAGTTAGTGCTAGGATGAGATACCCCTTTCGTGTGTCAGGGACTCATTTAATGAGCCTTATTCTTTCCTGGGGCACTTGTTCTCCAACCTTCCTTCATACTGAGCCTTTTGCTATCGAACTCTTCCTTCAAAATGCCGTCCATGCCTTACGATGCTGCTTCTCTTTGTCTCCCAAACCTGAATACTCTTTCTCTCTATAATCTTCATCCTGTAAAGTGGCAAAGAAAGGGGCCTACTTGACCCCTTTTGGTTAGAGGATTCACTTCTTACTTCAAACACAAGATAAAAATTTATCTTGTTCTGCCCAACATGGATACCTGGCATTTTGTATGTGTGCGTATAAGTTCCCTCCCAGAAACATAAACTCAGGCCTTTAGTGATCCATAGTAGGTGCCTACAAATAACATTTCTCATGACTTTCTTTAAGTGTCAGAAAATGTTATGGTTATAAGAGGAATTCTTTAACATCATAAAAGTAAAGATTATCCCAACATTAGTTTACGATAAGGGCATCAATTCTTAGTAACAGTTTCTCTAGAACGCATCTCCTAGCGCGCTCTCCCCCAACACACACACACACACACAAATACATCAGCAGTCAAGTCTTCTACAAGTATCAATTCTTCATTGTCATCTCTTCATTCTCCTCCCTATTATTCTTCCCCAGAAAATACTTTTCATCCCTGGATTACCAAAAAAGAAAAATGTTATTGTTTTGCCCACTTTCTACTCCTTACAACCTGGATTTCAAGATACTCTAAAGGAGGTTTAAGGTCATTGAGAGGATTGAAGGGTCAGAGGCATCACAATGTTGAAACTCTTGGGTAGGTAGCCACTGCAGAGGAGAGAGTGCAGTGACGGTGGTTGCAAACAGTGGGGCCAGTTACTAAAAGGCATACTAACTAGTTCTTTTTTAAACACAATTTCTGCACTCATATTTACATTAAAGGTTACACATTTTTGTAAATCCTACAAGTTTTATTTTTAAAACTGAAATGATAAGAGAACATTTTACTTGGTTTCTGGTTTCTCTTATATCTATAATCAATGTAATTATTTAAGGTGGCTTTGTTTGGAGGCTGCTAATGCATCTCCCTCTTAATGAATTACAAAATGTTCTCATTGCATCTTTATGTGCTTGCCCTCTGGTTAAGAATCTCCTTTATAGATATTAAAATGGCCTCTGTTTAGATGTGTTCTCATTGACTTAATTTCTCTTGTGGGGAAAAATACATTGCTAATGATCACCTTGTCTTAAATTGCAGATTACAGTTTTTCGGATGGGATCAGAAGGACACCAGGACATTGATTTAGCTATCCTGACAGCTTTACTCAAAGGTAAAAGAGTTTCTGCATCCAGAGAGTATAAAAATGATTTAAATAGATTAACACAACAACCTCATGTCTCCTATTAGTGGGCATAATCCCAAATGATTCCCTGACACATCTAGTTATTGATAACATGAGGAACTCTCCCATAAGACACTGCTACTACTGCTACTACTATCAAATTCTTCTGTAATAGACCTGTTACAATGTGACTCAATTTTAATACACTATGGCCCTAGTCATATCCATTGAATCATAAAAATATATAAGGAAAAGTTTGAAATAAAATGTAAGACAAGGTCATTTAATAATTATTATTATTTTATCTATTTTCAAAAAATACTCACTATGGCATCTATGTGTGTATGAGGGTGTATTTGAATATATGCACTAAAATTGAAAAACTAAAAATCATTAAAGGGAAAAAATAAAGAAACAAACAAAAAAATTTAGGCTACTATACTTGTTTCAAATAAGCATTAAGTTCAACTCTACTCCCTGCAAAAGTAGAAATACCCTGGGTTGTGGGATTTTAATTCATATGGTGAGTTTGTCCTATTCTCTAGTCCCAGTGTTATAGACATCTCACTACCTGTCCTCGTCTCTGGTAACATATCCGAGAGATGAGCCGTGTCCTCCAGATTTTACAGATCAAATTTCATCCTTGATGTGCCTTAATAATTGTATGAATTTGACTAATAATTTTCAGTGTTAAAATAATGAAACAAGGTTATGCCTGTTCTGTTCTAAAATTCAAACTGGAATCACAGGACAAAACTAAACTACAAGCCATGTTGGCGGTGGTTCTCAGAAATGTCTACTACATCCTCCCTTAGCTCCGTAAGTTTGCCTGCTGTGGTGCTCATCATGTGGCTGGTTTATTACATGGCTGGAGGCTATGTTTGCAGCCTCCCTAGATTAAGAACTCTTTGGAGCAGAGAATGTGTCTTGTGCATTACTGCACTCTCAGGACCTTGCACAATCCCCAACACATGACAGCATTCAATCAATTCTTTTTATTTTTTTATTTTTTGGTGGGGGGAGGCACAAATACCGAGGATTGAACTCAGGGGCACTCAACCACTGAGCCACACCCCAGCCCTATTTTGTATTTTATTTAGAGAGAGGGTCTCACTGAGTTGCTTAGTGCCTCATTATTGCTGAGGCTGGCTTTCAACTAGTGATTCTCCTGTCTCAGCCTCCCGAGCCACTGGGATTACAGGCATGCACCACCTGTACGCCTGTAATTACAGCAGCATCCAATCAATTTTTGTTGAATAAAGAAATTTATAGATTACTCAATGATTCTGCAATTGATTCAGTATTCCAAAGTTAGACCTCAGAATAACATTTCATTCCATTTTTCCAATATACCTACTCTTTTTCCACTATTAATATTTTCTTGAAAACCTATCATGTTGCAACCTCTGTGCTAAATTCTTTACAACTCCTATAAACATTAATTCTTGGAACTATCTGCTGTTGGAGATATTTTTAGTTCCCATTTTATAGATTAAGTAAAACTATAAGAGGTTAAGTAACTGGCTAAAGTTACAATGCTAATTAGTGAACCTACTCTTGGGCCCAAGTATATCTTAGTCTTCACTATGCCACATATGAACCCTTAGACAATAGAGGCTATGTGTCCTGTGGACACTCCTCAAAAGCACATGCACATTCATTCAAAATTGTGATTACATTTCAGGAGATTCATAATCCTATAAAGTATATTATGTATCCCAGGTTGAGAATTATGGTCTAAAACATTTCATTTCAATGAGCTAAAAACATATCCACACTGGACAGAAGAATTAAAGGACTAGGAACTGTGCATGGGCTGAATCACAAAACATACCCTGGGCCCCATTCTTCTTTTGTCACAGACAAAAATAAAAGTTTAAAGTAAGTAACTCTTATCATATTTGCTCTTCTTATATAAAGGTAGGAAAACATAATGATATTAGTAAATAACATTGAGTATTTGCTTTATGTCAAACACTGTGTTAAGTGTATCCTATGTGTAAATTCATTTATTCTTTCTTTTTAAATATTTTTAGTTGTCTATGGACCTTCATTTTATTTATATACATGTGGTGCTGAGAATCAAACTCAGTGCCTCACACATGCTAGGCAAATGCTCTACCACTGAGCCACAACCCCAGCACTCATTTGTTCTTTATAAAAATTCAGTTACCAATTTATCAAAAGTTTATTGACAAGGAAATTGAAGTACAGAACAATTCAGAAACATGCCCAAGTTGGTAAATGGTAAAGACAGTCCAACTAGATAGCCTCACTAAGGTATGCCACCAAGATATCCCTAGCATGTTGATAATAGGAAATGAAACATATTATGATCCTGAAAATTTTTCCTAACAAATAGGGAAGTGATCCAATTATCAGTAAAAATAAAATGACTGTCATCTTCTAATGAAATATTTTCTTGCCCTTTCACCCATTTATGAGATTCCAAATTGTGCAACACCTTTAGATCAGTGTTAGAATTCACTTGTTATATTAGAGAATCATGTTTTCCAACTATTTTGAGCATGACACACAGTATGAAATCCACTTTATGCCATAACCAGGCAGCTACACATATGCACTGAGAAAATTGAAATTGAAGTACTTAAAATAATATTTACATGGACAATATGCAGTGAAATTTAATATTTTCTATTTTAATCTATTCTATTCTCCTGAATGCTGATTGTATCCCACTAAATTGATTTCATGATCTACTAATGGGTTGTATCCTGCAGTTTAAAAAACACCACCATAAAAGATGAAAGGAAATTATTATCGCTCTAAGAAATTAACATTTCTAATCACTATAATGAACATTACTTATGCAGCAGTTGAGCTAATGGGAATTTATGCCATTAAAAGATTATGGTGTGTCAACTTTATTTTGCAAAAGCTTTTCAATGCTCTCAGACATTGACCCAGTTGATTTGTGAAGGATATCAAGCATAATATTTTTGCTGACTTCTTCAGAGGCCAAGAGCATTCATTCTTATATCAGTTTCAAATTCTTAAGTTTGTTATGTTATTCTTCCTATGTTTTTCCTGGGCATTTAACAATGTTTAATTGGACTTTTGATTATCTGATGCACTGGAAATCTTTGCACAGTCTAATTTTTATTCTGAGAAATCATAAATTTCTGAGAAAAACAGAAGTTAGAAGAAAGAGGAAGTTTTGAAACTAACCACTTGGCCCACAAATCCAGAGGCAAAAGGAAGAGGAAAGAAAGTGAGAGAAGAAAAGGAAAGGGAGGGAAGAAATCTGGGAAACCATTTGGTTGTAGGAAAAATACACCTTTGCTGCTCATTATCTCTGCTCCCATTGAGTTTGATTTTCTTGGATCTGTATTAGAGAATATTCTTTATATAATGTAGACTTTTACAGTTATCTATTCAAAAATCAAGAGATAAAGAAGACAAAAAGAAGGCTGCTTAAGAGATGTAAGAGGCCCAGAGTTCCTCCAAATGGTGACCTGGGGTACTTTTGACAATACGCAATGTCACATTGTCCTTCACTAGAGGTAACTGAGAGAGGTATTCTGAATCAAAAACTGTGCCTCTCCCTTCCACTAGCCCTCCATCTCCCCTGTCACAGAAACATTGGAGGACAGAGTAAAATGCAGGATGTCCAGTTAACTCTGAATTTTCAGATAAACAAAAGCTAATTTTGTTAGCATGAATATGTCAAGTGGAACATACTTACTCCCCTCCCCCCCAAAAAAAAACATTGTTTGCCTGAAATTCAACCCTCACTGTGAGTCCTGTATTTTTATCTGCTAAATCAGGCTACCTGACTCAGAAAAGACACCATGAATGCCTCTGGCTTTCAGACACCTTGAAAAGTTTTATGGGAAGAATGACCTAAAAAATCTAGGGAGGTCCCCTCATCCCTCTCTCTGCCTCTTTCTCTCAGCCAGCCCTAACTAAGTTATATCACCCAAAGAAGACTTCCACTGGAGAGGACCCCACACTTGCTTCAGTTAACTATTGATGCATATCAACCGGCTCCCTCAGCTTCCTGTCCTGTGTGCATCCCTCACACAGCAGTACAAACCTCTTGCTGAGGCTCAATAAAGCCATAAAATATCTGGTCACAGCAGATGGGTCCTTGTACCCTTCCTGTGAATACAATTGTCCCCAATTCTTTTCATCTTTTCTTGTGGACCTTGATTTAAATAAATAAAGTCAAATCACAGGAGCCAACTCTCATTCACCTCCACCCTGGACAGTGTCACATGATGAGCACTGTCCTCCATAACTGAAAAGTTCTTTTTCTTTGGATTTCATCTTCAATGGTAAAGAAGATTACCTGAGGCCTGGGGAGAAAGTTACCTTGACTTCTTACTTTTTTTCTGTAAAGTTTTTTTTAAAAGCTAAAAGAGTGTAAAACAATATGTTCCTTCTGACAACTGTTAAGGTCGTTTAAAAAAAGAGAGAGAGAGAGAGAGAGAAGTCTGAGAGATTGCCTAGAGGAGCCTACAGAAACGGGATGACTAAATGTATTGTTCTTTCCTGGATGGTATTCTGTAGCAGAAAAAAAGGGTAATATGAGGGTAAGAATGAAGGAACTATGAATAAATATGGACTAAACTTTTTTTAAAAATGCTAAGAGAAAAATAAGAAATATATGTTATCATATATTATGGGATCTGATCAAGAGACATATTGTAATCAAAAAACCCTAAAACTATTTCATATCAAAAAGACAACAAAGGAGATAGTTATTTATGGAATTAATTGTAAAGGTCAGACATACATAAATTCAAAGGACTATGACAGGTGCAGGCAGTATCTATATAAAGTATCTATATAAATCACACAGTTATGAATAATAGCTAATCACTATCAGTCTAGGAAAAGATTAGAAATACCATTAGGGAATCTGAGCAAAAGGTATACAAATGCTCAGTTAAAAGAAAGCAAATGTATGAAATCAAATTTGTCTATGTACTTACATAATCATTTCAGAGATAATTATCTAGTTC